TTGGATGTGGCTCGTATTAACCCGCTTCCATATATCATTCCCGATTTTGCACTAAAACAAACAGAAGTTGTAAAGATGCATATATATATATATATATATATATATAAATATATATATATATATATATATATATATATATATATATATATATATATATATAAATTCTCAGGTGGAAAATCCCAATCGAAGCAAATTATTATTAAAACTGCACACCTCAATTAACCTACAATCATTTCTCTAACAAGCATATAAATCACTACATAGAGAATACTTTTCATCTCATATAATGATGTTTTCAATATCATTTTCATTTTAGGCCAATAACATGGTGACATTTTGAAGTAGAAATTTGTACCCGCACCGTCGCGCACCATAAGATCAAAAGCCAGAGCAGTGGCAACCGCAGCAACGATGATCAAGAAAGCCATTCTCAAGGCCATTTGAGATCGACCTCCGGTTCGATTTTATTGAGTTAACTGATGAATATATTATTTGTACGAGAATTGAATTAGCAGACGACTTTTATCTCATACGGCTCATGGAAAATGATTAATGGAGTCGCGTTGTTTTCTTAATGGGATATCTACATCAAGAGTGTTTTTATTTATTGATTAATTATTGTATTTATATATGAGTTTGGACAAGAACGACGAAAGATATTAACTAGCCGGCTGACAGTATTAGGCATAGTTATATGCTCCCAAAAATATTAACTATAAACTAGCACAAGTCCGTGCTATACATGGAATATGTCTAGATGTAAACTACGCATGTACGCTAAATATATATACGTCCGGTCACTACTAGTAAGATGTTCGTTCAATCGATAAGATTCAAAAAGAGACTCATGCCTAGGGGTGCAAAATTGGAACGGAATTTTCGAATTCCGTCAATTCCAATCTGAAAATATCCGAATTTGGAACACTTTTTTTCATTCCGATTTTTCCGATTATTTTTTGGAATGAAATTGGAATTACATATAAAATTATTGGAAATTCCGACTTTCGATCCGATTTTATTTCCGAAATATATATATATATATATAAATATATATATATATATATATATATATATATATATATATATATATATATATATATATATATTTCGGAAATATGTTTTGCAAGAACTATGTTTACTTTTTCCTTTTTTGAAAATTTGTAAGAACTATGTTTGTTTTGATAAACTGATTATGTTGTTTTTACAAGTGTTTACATTTAACCTTTGTTTTGGATTCTTGCCTTTTGGCGGAAAATTACAAAAATATTAGAAAAAAAATGTTAAAAATTACCATCAATCCATTGTTTCCGACTTTTGAACAAAAATTTAAGAATTAAAGCAATTTCCGAAAATTCCGCCGATTCCGAGGTATTCCGAAATTGGAATGGATTTGGAAATTACGATTTTTTTAGAACGGAAATTGGAACCTATTTTTAACTTCCGAAAAAAATTGGAAAATTTTCGAAAAAGGCACTTCCAATCCATTCTGCCCGGTTTCCACCCCTACTCATGTCTGTAAAAAAACTGAAGTATACAACTAATTGTATAGTACATAGATAAAATGAATTAAATCACATATAATACCAGATTCTGACGTGTTTAATATGAAACTAACTAACCAAATAGCTAGTCCGTAGAGAATTAGTACTAACATAATTCAATATATATCAGTTTAACCCACGCAACCGAACATTACTTAAATCATAGAAATAAGATATATAAGTAAGGACGAGATTGTTATAACATCAACGCTTCGTTGGAGCAAAGCCGGGATCCCATCAACGTTTCATGATACTTCCCCACTGGGGGTAGCATGTTTGGGTAATCACCCCCATCAGGTATGAATCTTTCTACATGTCCATTATTCTAGTATCAAATTTAGTGGAATCTTCTAGGTTATGTAGAATATTCTCCAGTTTGTACCCGTTTTATCCCATTCGAGCTCCACATTTTGAAGCAAGATGATTATAAACTACATTTTTTCACAAAACGTACGTTTTGTGAAAAAATGTAGTTTATAATCATCTTGCTTCAAAATGTGGTCAAGGTAATCAAACTTTTAGCAGATTAAGGTAATCAAACTTTTAGCAGATTTGGTCAAGGTAATCAAACTTTTAGCAGATTAAGTATTATTTAATCGTATGTTTCATTAACAATTGTTATTGTGTACAGCAATCATTTGATGTGAATGATGCACTCAAAGACCTTATTTTTCAAATGATGGGCAAATACTGGAGACAACATAAATCGAAAATTACAAAACAGCTAATTCAAGCCAGTGAGTTGCCCAATTGTGCACGTAAATTCCAACTCATGAAGCCCTTAAATGTGAAATCAAACAAGGATTGGGATACTTTTGTGAAATCAAGACTTACTACATCATTTCGAGTGAGATTTTTGCTTACTTTAGTTAGTTATAATGTATACGTAAATTTTAATTATTTGTTTAAATATTTTTTTCTCATCTATATTATTACTGTTGATTTAAGGAAAAAAGTGAAAGGTTTAAGGAAATGAGAAAGAAGCAGAAGTACACACACTATGAGTCGTAAAGGTTATGCTCGCATGGAAAATGAAATGGTAATTTAAAAGTAAAAAATGAAACATGCTAGTTAATTGTTTTATTTTTTTATTCACTCACACTATGTAACTGTGTATCTTTTGTAGAAAGAAAACCATGCAAATCCTAGCGAAATAACAAGGGTGGAATTATGGAAAAAGGCATACGAAAATAAGAATGGCGAACCTGTCAATGACGCTGCTGGTGAAATAATGGTAAAATATAACAATTACTCTATACTGTTCAAAAAAATAAATTATACAAATGTTTGTATGTTCTTATACTGTTCGTATGTGAATTTTATTTTTACATAGTCAAAATTTGTATGTGGAGTCATTGTATATTTATAATTATAAAAGAGTAAAAATAAAATAAAAACAAAGTCTGCACATGCTTATAATGTATGTATACGCATTGTTTACTGTGTACATGATCAATAGATGATGTATGTATGTACTTATAAGTATTTGGTTTTGTTTTATACTTGGTCACAAATTGTTGCAACTGGTGTTGTTTCATATATATATATATATATATATATATATATATATATATATATATATATATATATATAATTAATTGTAATAGTTCTAAATTGGTACATATTGTCATATTCATGTGTACATATATTGATAATGTACGTACTTATGTCCTTGTAATTTATGTTTCAATGGTTAATTACTAATTTATTGTATGTTGGTATATGAGCTCATCATTTGTTATATATATACTTGCTACTGTTTGTAAATTGGTACCTGTGTTATGTACAATTTTTATTTGTGACTATGAATATGTCATTTTTAGGATTATGTTGTATATTTACAGGAGCAAATAAAGAAGTGCAATGAGTTAAAGGAGAACCCACCATCAAAGGATTCTATAAGAGATGATGCTTTAGCACGAGTTTTAGGACCTGAAGCTCGAGGACGAGTTCGTGGACTTGGTTTTGGTGCTACCCCATCTAGAGTAGCTGCAACAATTCAAAGTAATGCAATGTTCAACGATATTCAAACTAAAATGGCCAACTTGGAAACACAAGTGAAATCACTTATGAAACTAAATCAACAGGTATATTTTTTTTCTTAATAAACTATTATATTAAAATTAAAATATTACAACAGTTGAACTTTTTTTCTTTTCTGTCATTTATCTTGTTACAGAATTCAAGCAAGAATCCTGAAGATATGATAAGCTCACATGTTGCTACTCCTCAAGTTGGCACTCCTCAAGTAAGAAGTTTGAAATAATTAGTATACAATTGCATATTATTTAATATTTCATATTAATCAACAACCTATATATTAAATCTCTTAATTTTGTTTATTTCAATCAGAACAAGGAAGTCATCCTCTACAAGATCAACCTACCAACAATCAGAAGTGTCAGCTATTACATTGGTACAACTTTAAAACTGCGGAGGAAGTTGTGGCTGAAGGACACATTGCATCAACTGATCCACAAACTAAAGTTCATCATATACCTATTGGAAAAGAGTGTTGGAAGGTGTGGGTTGACCTCGTAGTTAATGAAGATTTGCACTTGTTTAGACCTACCAATGAATTTAGCGTGCTTGGTGATGCTTTAGGGAGTACAATTGCGTGGCCAAAAAGTTCTATCAAAATGATAAATGAAGGTATTATTCACTACCTACCTCACTGTAAAAAAAATTGTTATTTTCGAACACATGCACATTATTTCATTATAATAATAATTATTATTATTATTATTTTATGTTTACAGATTACGAGTATCTTCACTGACGTCCTAGGGTAAATTGAAGATTATATTATTTTGACTTAAATAGAATCTAGGCTTAGTTCAGTATTACATTTCGTATTATCTTTTTTTTAGCAGACTTGCACTCTATTCGGATATTATGGATGTTTATGTCATTTTGAGATTTTGGTTTTGAATTATTTGGTTTATATGAATATTTTTAATGTAAATTAGTTTATTTTTAGAGCATATTGATTAGTGAAATTTGTGAAATATATAATTGAATAGTTTAAGTCTATTTCTACAAAGCACCGAACATTTGGTTAATATATCAACCAACAACGCACAATGAAATGTTGTTGTTAGTATAATACAACATGCCTATGCACTTTGTGATATACCTTGTAACAATATTAACCGTAAGTTGTGATATACCTTTCAACAAGACACTCGGAAATGTTGTGGTTAGTGTAGGACAACATGCCCCTGCACTTTGTCGTAACGTTTATTACAAGACGTCTTTGCATGTTGTTAATTACAAACAACCACTAGCATAATGCGTTGTTATAGACCTCATACAACGCGCATCGTTGTATTCGATGCAAGTTGTCAAATATACCCGAGATTTAACCACATGTAGGACAACAACATGCGGCGGCGTGTTGTTGTTACCTTCAACAACGCACTTCGTGCGTTGTTAAACACCTTTTTTCTTGTAGTGCGTATACGAACTAAAGAATAATTCACGGAACCTGGAAAGTTTTGTTCAAATTGACAACATAAAGATGAACGTGTAAAAACATTCATAGTTGAGGGGTGGTTGTAATTACCCAAACATGAGGGATTTTTTGTAATTTAACATTACCTCAGGAGGGCAGCCGTAATTTACCATAGTAATTTATTCATTCGGAACTAGGGGTGGGAATCAGATTGGAATCTCCAAATTCCGGCAATCAGAAAATATCCAACTTTCAAACCGTATTTTTCATTTCGATTTTCAATTCTTCTGAATTTATTTGGAACAAAGTCGTAATTGCATATAAAACTATTTGAAATTTTGATTTCCAATCCCATTGTAGTTTCGAATATTTCGATTGTTTTTTAAAATAAATAATATAATTGCGTGATATACTTTGTAATTCCATAATATAACTTATGTTATATTTATACAAAAAAAATATAAATATTGAAGGATCAAATAAATTAAAACCATAGAAAAAATCATTGGTATCAGAAACTCTTTGTAGCATTTTTTACTTATCATAAAATCTTTATTTCAATTTATTGTTCATGCATGTAGTTTCATTTATTGCATTTGTCCCTCTTTTGAATTTTCTTTCATTTTCCTGCAAAATTTCGAAAAGGATGAAAAAATATTGTCAAAATTCACATTATATCCAAATTTGAACCAAGAGATTTTAACCTAATAAAATTTCCAAACTTTTCAAATTTCTGCTGAATCCAATTAGGCATTGCGAAATCGGAATGAATTTTTTCATTCCAATTTTTTTTAACAAAAATTGAAACCTACTTTTTTACTTCTGACAGAAAAAATGAATTTTTTTGAAAAAATCATTTTCAATCCATTCCGTCTGATTTCCACCACTTATTCCCAACTATATTCAATTGGCCACAAATTTTCCGACAGTGTTGACTTTGAGAGCCTTACCTTGCTTTCTTTGATTTCAGACCCGTGAAATTCTCACAACAATCACCATCTTCAACTTTTATTACATGAAAAAACTGAATCATCATGCCAGCTGGTTGGTCATCGTCAGTACATGATCAAGACCCTAAATCTGCGATCCCATGCATGCATGCTTTTTTTAACCACAAATTGCTATCTAAATTCACGAGACATAACTTTTTAACAAACCAAACCTATATAAGCAACAAGAAAAAAGTTTCGCGTCGGTTCATTAAAAATAGGGTAACACTAAAAAAAAAAAAAAAATTGACTAAATATTTATTTTTCGAGTAGTTAGGCAAAAAGTATTGTCACTATACTTGTCACTAACAGGGTATGGTGACAATAAATAAGGATTAAGTGACAACAAAATGAGCTATTAGTAACAATAAAAAAAAATGTTGTCACATAATGTGTACATTAATTGACAACTTTTGCGTTTGTCACCATTAGGGTGTTGCTAATGCATCTTTTTCTTGTAGTGTAAATTACGGCCATCCCCTGAGATAAGGTTAAATTACGAAAAAAAACTCTCATATTGGATAATTACAACCAATTCTCAACTATGAGTTTTCTTACACGTCTACCCTTATGGTGTCAAATTTAACATAATCTTCTAGATTACGTGAAATGTTCTCTAGTTTGTACTTCTTTTGAACAAAAATGCAGTTTTTGATGCACCACATTAGATATTTAATTTACAAGAGACACATCATATGATCATTTTGTTTCAAAATTATGGAGCTCGAATGTGGTAAAACGTGTATAAACTGGAGAATATTCCACTATCTAGAAAATTCAACTAAATTTGACACTATAAGAATAAACGTGTAAGAAGATTCATACTTGATGGGTAATTGTAATAACCCAAACATGTTGGGTTTTTCGTAATTCGACCCTATCTCAAGTTGATCGTAATTTACCCTTAAAAATATACCGAACAAATTAAACAACCACCACCAAACTTAAGTTTTTAATGTTACTGCATTCTCGTGATCCCCTTTAGGCCCTTTTTCAAAAGCATAAATTGTACATCATGTGAAATTAATATTGCCCAAGACTGCCCAAACTCATTAGCTTTGGAAGTTGTTTATAGAAAAAAAAAGAAAAAAAAAAAAGTTGGTGATCATGAAGCATAATAATTCGAAGGAAATGGAAATGAGAGAAACTTCTAGAAGATCTCCCGGCGGAACCCATTTTGTCGATATCCACGAAGTACCCGAAGAAGAAGAAGAAGATGAAGAAGAAGCACACGAAGAAAACAAGCCCACAAAAACGGCTACTAATAATAATAAACGTTTTAACAAACCGATTAAAATACGAGAGATGAAAAGACCTAATAACAATAGTTTTAGCCGGCAAGTTTCGCTGGAAACAGGGTTTTCGGCGCTGAACGTAGACAAGACGGAGAGGAAAGGAGTACTGCCGAGAAGTGGGAACAGTTTCGGAGGATTCGGTTCTTCTCATAGAAGTGGCGGCGGTGGTGTTGGAGCGGAAAGTGGTGGCGGAAAGAAGGGGGACTTCAGCATGTTTAGAACGAAATCGAGTCTCGTTAGGCAGAACTCGAAGCTGCCGTTGATTAAAAAGGAGAGTGGAATCCTTGTTGATCAATATATTAACGATATTTCGTCGTCGTCTCGTAGGGTTGATAATAATGATAATGAAGATGAAGATTCTGTTAACAAAAGTGTTCCTGCTGGTAGATACTTTGCTGCTCTCACTGGACCTGAACTCGACCAAGTCAAGGTACATCGTACTCCATCGATCGAAATCTCGACAAATTTTTGGTGTGTCGAATTTAGTTTTTGTACAATTATTCTCAAATTTTGAAAATTTTAAGTTTTTTCAAAAGTTTTATTATTAATATTTTAAAATTTTCCCACGTGAAAACTTTTGATTTTTTTTTAATATTGTCATATTCTTTTAGGAACGGAATTGAAATTATTTTTTATTCTAAAGAAATGAATTTTTTTTCAAGAAAAAATAGTAGCTAGATTTTTTTTTTTTAATACTAATCCCTCGTTAATTAAAATATCTAGTTGAAATCTTTTAATAATAATCAAATTCTATTTTGTAGTATATTAGTTATAAGGTCGAGGGGTGAGCAAAAATAACGAACTGATAGACGAAATCGAAACCGAAAATAAACCGAATTGATACTGAAACCGTTAATTGAAAACTGACAAATCGATTAGCACCGAAGCGTAAAAAAACCGACATGTTTGGTATGCGTTTTGATAATTGCAAAAATCGAGCCGTACCGATTTTTTTAATTGTGGGCCGGAGCTAATTTGAACTTTATTGAAGCCAGCATGTTATAACTAACCTATACTATTTATTTAATTAAATTAACGTGGTGCAGGATTCGGAGGACATACTTCTACCCAAGGACGAGAAATGGCCGTTCCTTCTCCGTTTCCCCATCGGCTGCTTCGGCATATGTCTCGGTTTGAGCAGCCAAGCCATCCTCTGGCGCGCCCTCTCCACAAGCCGAGCCACCAAATTCCTCCACGTCACTCCGATCGTCAACCTCGCCATCTGGCTACTCGCCCTCGGCGTATTCGTCGCAGTTTTCATCACCTACGCGCTAAAATGCGCCTTCTACTTCGAAGCCGTCAAGAGGGAGTACTTCCACCCCATACGTGTCAACTTTTTCTTCGCCCCTTGGATCGTGTGCATGTTCCTCGCCATAGGTGTCCCGCCCTGCATCGCACAGGATCGCCTCCACCCGGCCTTATGGTGCGCCTTCGCGGGCCCCATCATCTTCCTCGACCTCAAGATCTACGGCCAGTGGCTCTCCGGCGGGAAGCGGCGTTTGTCCAAGGTGGCGAACCCGTCATCGCATCTCTCCGTGGTGGGGAACTTCGTCGGGGCAATACTGGCGGCGCAGGTCGGGTGGTTGGAGGCGGGGAAGTTTATGTGGGCGGTGGGTTTCGCGCACTATATGGTGGTGTTTGTGACATTGTACCAGAGATTGCCGACGAGTGAGGCGCTGCCGAAGGAGCTCCACCCTGTGTACTGTATGTTTATTGCGACTCCGGCCGCGGCGAGCATCGCATGGGGGGCTATTTACGGGGAGTTCGACGGGCTGTCGAGGACTTGCTACTTTATTGCCTTGTTTCTCTATTGCTCCCTCATTGTGCGCATCAACTTCTTCAGGGGATTCAAGTAATATCTCTCTCCCTATTCTTCTCTGTTTTTTTTTCAAAAACAATAAATTTGAAAATTTCCAATTTTATGATAATAATAATATAGGGTAAATTACAACTACCTAAGGTATGGTCAAATTACGAATAACCCCTTGGATAATTACAACCAACCCTCTCAACTATAAATCTTCTTACACGTCCACTCTTGCGGTCTCAAATTTAGTGGAATCTTCTAGATTATATGAAATATTCTCAATTTTGTACCCGTTTTATCCCATTGGAGCTCCACATTTTGAAGCAAGATGATCATAAGATGTGTTTTTTGGCTTGTATATATCACATTGTGGTGCTGTATATTTACACAAAATGAGTACAAACTAGAAACATTCCACGGAATCTAGATGATTATGTTGAATTTGATACCATAAGTGGAGCTGTAAGAAAATTCATAGTTGGGTAGATGTAATTGTCCAAACAAGAGGAATTTTTTTGTAATTTGATCATACGTCAGGGGTGGTTGTAATTTACCCAATAATATATTATCATACAAACCTAGCTCTCATATGTAATTAATTCTTATATTATATCTTAATTAATCACTAGTATATACTATATACTACTTCGTATGATAGGTTCTCGGTGGCGTGGTGGTCTTACACATTTCCGATGACAACAGCATCGATAGCGAGCATCAAATACGCGGAGCAAGTTCCGACAGTAATAAGTAAATGCCTGGCTTTAGCACTTTCTTTAATGTC